GGGGCTCGCGGAGACGAGCAGAGACTCACGATAATGTGACCCCGTCGCCCCGTCTCGTGGACTTGTGGCAAGGGCCCAAACTGCCCGGCCGCACCACGTAGGAAACTCGCGGGTGCTCTACGGGCCCGCCCAACTTCCACATCAACTTGCGGGTACCCCTCAGGGCCGACCCAACTTCAACAATGGTCTAAAGTAAAGTCAAGGTAACCGTGTGTCCAAAACATTAAGGAGGAAAACCCGAGGAATCACCCTCGGTGGATTCCACTCGATGTAATCATCAAGGTGAACATAAGAGGAACCACTCTCAAGGTTCACACTTGAGGGGTTGCACGATAGAGTCGTACCGGGAGTGGTCAAGGATTCCACCCTCGATGACCGCGACCGAATAGCTACACTAGAGAGTCATCATCAGGAGTGTGTTATGAGGTATCACCCTTGGCACTCGATAATAGCTCAGCAGAGTCGAGCAACAAAAGGGGCGTGATGTGATGTGAGGTGTCGGGCTCTGGTCGTCGACCACATTGCTCGAGTCGTCGATGATGAAGCAGGGGTAACAAGGACAAGGTGGGGTCACTGAAGGATCACTAATCAACCTATACTAAGCAATTTAGGGTAAGCAGGTAAGGTACAATGAGCAGGTTACAAAAGCAAGCTATGCATCAGAATATGAGCAATCAATTACAGTAGCAAAATCTAATGCAATCACGACAGAAAAGAATGGCCGATATCGTGATGATCAAAGGGGGGCTTGCCTGGAAGCTCCGCTGAAAGGGAAGAAGGGTCGTCGTCGACGTAGTCGATCACAGGGGCATCGGCATCAGTCTCGGGGTCTACCGGAGAGAAGAGGGGGGAGAAACATTAAATACAGAGCAAACAGATACATGACAAGCAATAAGTATCGCTAGGGGTGAACTAACGCAAGGCTACACGATACCGACGAAGGGGGAAACATCCGGGAAAGTTTCCCTGAAGTTTGGCATTTTCGGACAGATGAAACGGAGGGCAATGGTTGCATGTGCACTATGCTAGGGGCACATGAGAGATGAACGAAGAGCGTATTCGGATTTGTCTCGTCGTTCTGAGCAACTTTCATGTATATAACTTTTTCAACCGAGTTACGGATTATTTTATATGATTTTTTCAAAGTTTTAACAATATTCTGGAATTATTTAAATTAACAAAAATGAATTATTGCGTCAGCATGAGGTCAACATGTCAACCACACCTGTTCACGTCAAACCTGGCAGCTGGGTCCCACCTGTCATAGACAGTGGGGCTAACAACAGTTTAATTGAGCTAAACAGATTTAATTAGTGGTTGGGCCCCACATGTCAATGACTAATTAAATTAACTAATTAATTTTATTTATAAAACGTTTTACTTAACTAAAAATGCGGTGGGGCCTGCATGTCAGTGACACTGGGCTGCCCAGTCAGCACGTTGACTGGATCCGCGGACCCACTAGCAGTGGCCCAGAGGTGGGGCCCGGCCAGCCACGTCGATGCCGGCGACGCCAGAATGCAGTGGAGGCACACGCGCGCGGCGGATTTCGTCTACAAGCCACTAAATTGGTCGGGGCCGGTCACGTTTGAACGACCACTCGACGACGCGTCGAGTGGTGGTGGTGGCATCGCCGGACTTGGCCGGGGCGCCGGCGTCAAGGTCTGCGGCAGAGCGGCTACGGGCTACGGTGAAGGCGTCAGTGCAGTGCGCTAGCGGTCGAGCTGATGCGCTAGGCGAGGCGTACATGACGCGGTGAGGCCAGCGGTCGCGAGTCCGTGACCATTTGGTCACCGGAAACATGTCGGCGATGAGCGCAGGCGGCGGCGCGCTCGGGCGCGTCGACGACAGCTAGCTAGGGCGCGCGAGAGAGCAACCGGGGAGGAGTAGGAGGTAGAGGAGCTCACCGAGCGGCTAAGAAAAGCCTTAGATAGCTTAGTAGCAGCAGTGAAGAAGACGAGCTCGCCGGGCTCGCTGTGGTGGCTCCCGGCTTACGCTCGTTGATCGGGACGAGGAAGAGGACGACGGCGGAGACGAGGAACACGGCGGTGATGTGAGGCGGGCGCGGCGGGGACGAGTGGGACGCGCCCGGTCGGGTGAATAGAAAGAGGAGGGGGTGACCGGGGAGGAGGAGTGGGCCGGCTCTAGTGGGCTAAAGCCCAGGCAACAGGGGGTGTTTTATTTTCTATTTTGCCTTTTTCTTTTCATTTGTTTCTGCTTTATTTGTTTTCTTTATTTTATGATCGGGTGAATAGGGAAAGGAGGGGGGTGACTAGGGAGGAGGAGTGGGCCGGCTCTAGTGGGCCAAAGCCCAGGGAACAAGGGGGTGTTTTATTTTTCTAATTTGCCTTTTCCCTTTTTCATTTGTTTCTTCTTTGTTTGTTTTCTTTATTTTATAGCCGTTAAACATTTTATAAAAATGTTGGCACGCCACTAATATTATTCAAAGATTATTTGCAACAACTTGAACATTTTAGTTTTCATGTTTGACAAAATTTAAATTTTGACTTTAAACTTTGTTTTGAATTTGAATTGTGACTTGGATTAAATGAGGATTAGCAACAGTAATGTGATGACATGGCACCATTAACTTGGGATTACTATAGCTTAATTATCCGGGCGTTACACGCAGGCACGGGGTCCCGAAGAATCAGGCAATGGTTTCCATTCCCGTGCATCAAGACCAAGACCACCAGGACGGCAGGACAAATGTCATCACCAAGCCCACCGCAACGTCACGACCGGAAGCTTTGCAGGCGAAGACCACCTTTCGTTAGGATAAGATGTACTACTTGTCTCCTTTCAAATTGGCCACTGCGGGATCCCTTCCCGCCTACGTTTTGGAGGAAGAGGACCGATGCCACTATAAGTATAGGCTAGCCACCACCATAGCGGGGATCTCTCTCTGACCCGATCCGAACCTCTCAACTCATTCCCTCACAAGAGCAGACCTCGCGAGGTTGTTCTTTCCTTGTACTAGTTCATCTCAGCCCCTCGTGAGGCAAATCCAGCCCAAAGCAGGAGTAGGGTCTTACACCGCTAGGTGGCCCGAACCTGGGTAAACTGCTACGTCTACCTTCTTCCTCGTTCATCAAGCTAGGCCGTGGGGGCAACGAACTGGTTGGCTGGAGAGGTTGAGTTCTTCGCACACGCCCCAGAGTTTGAACCTTTCTTAGGTCTGCGGACCCCTGAATCCGACAAATACCGAGGAGGAGGATTTGGGACAACACGGCAACAGAGGTTCCCTAGGGGTACCATCAAAGGTTCCCCTCGCCGCACAAAACAGTTGGTCTTAATGACGAAATTTGCGCATTTCACACCCTTAATGACGAAATTTAAATCCGCTTCCATGAAGGAGATTCAGACCATTGTCAAAGAAGAGTTGGATACAAGATTTAAAGCCTCCACTTTCGCATCATCCTCATTTGCTCCAAAAAAACACATGATGTGGAGGGTCCAAGAGAAATTCTTAACCGCCCAAACCTACTACCACACCTCTCTAAAATCTCGCGGAGCCCCACGACACCTCCACAATCAACCCCACATCCACAAATTAATCGAGGTTGGGGTCAGTAGGACCCAATCTACCGCGATGTCTAAATTCACAAAGAGGGGACGGCAGCGTGCCTGCTCGGCTGCCTCGTGGGCAGTTGTCATGCTGCGCAAGGATGAGTCACCGTCGCCGCCACATGCAAGGTAGCGGAGGAGGCGGCCGCACGCAGTGGCGATCGGGTTGGGAGCCTCCTCCATTTTCACTGGGCGCCACTGACTCCTGGACCGACGAGGAGGTGATGGAAGCGTCGTCTCCTTGCCGCACCGGAATTTGCATGGCTGAGACGCCGACTGGAAGAACTGTCCGTCCGTGCTACGCGGCGGCGACAGGGACACCCGCTTGACCTTCTTCTTCATGTATCGTCCGATTTGGACGCCACCGAAGTGCTGCGCCGGCGGCAAGGGTGCCTCCTCCTTGATGCGGAGGTTGCGTGGCGGCGAGGGAGGCATCAGGCCGCGGTTGTGGCACGAGCGCTCGATCGAGAGGGCCATCTGCGGCGAGAACTCCTCGTCCATGCGTGTGGCCTTGATGAGGGGCGGCTGCTATTGCTTGTCGTCGGTTGAGGAGAGCACCACCTCCTACTTTGAGCCGACGAAGTGGTTGACACCGACGGGCCCAGAGAGCGTTGACGGCGGCGGCGCTACGATCCATACGACCTCAAGGATCCACCTGCGGACGCCGTGAACCATAGGGAGCTGCTACCGGACTTGCCCATCACTACAGAGTGGAGTGCAGAGGAGAGAGGAGGACGAGATGAGAGGCGACGGTGCGCATATTGAAGATATGATGTAGGGTTTGCCGGTGAGGCCGTCTTGCTTAAATAGCCTGATTGACCGGCGCCGCTTCAACATGCAACAACCGGAGTAGGCTCCTTGGTCTTCGCGTCAGAATTGAAATAGCGATTGGTCAGACCAACATTCATGCCGTCCACGCTTCCGTTGTGGAGCGGTAGACCGACATGAATGTGCGGAGACGCTTCTAGATTAGGACGTGCGGCACGGGTTTTGTGTGTATATATGAGTTATCGGACGCTTACATGGTGGAGGTCCAGACGCCCACATATCTCCTCCAGGTTTGCCCTCGGGTTTGCCGGCATTTGGATAGCGTGGTCCAGGCGTTTAATGCACGACTTTACGAATTTCAACTCTCGGAATAGTAGGTTGTGCAATAATTCGCCATTTTGACGGTAACTAGAGGCAAGCATAGGGATAGTAATGGATACGAGTTTCCACTTGCCATGAGACGAGACGAGACCCAACAAGATAACAAGTGAATCGACCACGGTCCATGGACGATGGCCTCAATTGGCAGCAACGCCAGACCCAAACAGTGACACAGCCCCCTTCCCACTACTGCTTGCTCGGTTGCTCGTAGCAACGGTTTACACATCCCCATCGCTCACTCACGAACACAAAACAAAGACACACCCTGCGCTCCCCGTCTCCACATGTCAAACAGAGCACGGCCGACACAGTCCAGATACCAAGAAACCAGGGCCGTCGCCGCGGCTATGATGCCACCCGCGGCCGTCGCCCTCGCGCTCCTTGTGGTCTCGACGCTGCAGCCCCGGGCGGCGGTGCAGGCGCAGGTGTCGGCCGCTCCGGCGGCGGCTCCGGCGCCCAGCTGGGGGGAACTGGACTGCACGGGCGCGCAGCTCAACCTGTCCTCCTGCCTGACGTACGTGGAGTCCGGGAGCGCGCTGACGCGGCCGGAGAAGGGCTGCTGCGGGGCGCTCTCCGGCGTCGTGGACGGCGAGGCCGCCTGCCTGTGCGGGCTCGTGGGCGGGTACGGGTCCTTCGGGGTCCGCGTTGACGCCGTGCGTGCGCTGGCGCTGCCCACCATCTGCCGCGTCGAAGCGCCGCCGCCCAGGCTCTGCGCCATGCTGGGCTTGCCCGGCGCGGAGCCGCCGGGCGGCGCCGTGCCCCCGGCGTCAGGTACGAAATGACAGTATATGCTCTGCAGCGTGCAATAAATGCTCCTTTTCAAATGCAGCCTTTTCGTTTCTTTGCAATGTTGTCCGTCCCAGTAGTGTAAACAGGAAACTGACGAATGCCAAAAGAATTTCTGATCCTCTCGTCTCGTGCGTAATTAGACATTACCATGTCAACTGCGACATTACAGTAGTAGATGTTCAGATCAATTCTCGAATTAGCTTCAATATGTCTGCTGTTTGCACAACTGTATCCTACATGTAAAATAGAGTACACTGTACATGTAAGTAATGTAGGAAACCCATACCAGAGTTATGAAAAATGAACAAAATACATGCCAAGTAATGCTATTATAACATCGACCAGACAGAGAGGCAGTCGAGTAGCGACTTGTTCAGTCGATAAAACAGTGCATGAACCAAATTGTCTCATGGAAGCAAACTGTTTTGTTCAAACCATGTTTCTGTATTTCACATACTCCTACGTACACATAGAAGATAGAACCGTCTTGTACTAACAAAGTGTGAACGCCCGGCAGGGTACGGCACGCCGGCGACGACGCCAGCAACGTCAGCCGCGAACGGCGGCCCCGCGACGCACCGGAGCCGAAGGCGTCCTCTCCTCCTCGTGCTCCTCCCGTACTGCGCCGCGCTCTTCACGCTGCTGCCGTAACTCCCAAGCGCGCACGCCGACGGAGGCAGCCCCCGTACCCGTGCCACATCGGTACAACTGTACATGTACACGCGTTACATCAAATCGATTCAAGTCCAGCATAGCATCGATCCGTGTACACCATCACCATCAGAGACGGAGGACGAAAAAAAATTAAGGTGTGGCAAACTGTCAACTAGACAAAATTGATGCCCTCTAAAAAAAATTGATGCAAAAACATAATAGCCAATTCAAACTACACTGCACAGAATCTTTTAATGATGTCTAGAGAAGACACATGCAGTGGCGGGGATAGGCCGTGGGGTCGCGATGAAGTTAGGGATGGATGGACAGGCGGCAGCGGCGGCGTTTTCGGGCACAAATCGCCGGCGGCGGAGGCGGGCAGTCATCAGCGTAGCAGACTCAAATCGGCGGGTCGGCCACGGCTACGACGCTGCTGCCGGCGGTGGGATCAGGGATGGGCCGACAGGCGACGGCGACGCATTTCATGGCAAAAATCACCGGCGGGCGGGCTGGCAGAGGTGCAATGAAGACGGTTCGGCGGTTGACACACTGCTGTTCCTTTTACATCTCCTAGAGGTGTAGATGCAAATTTGCACCGTGAGGTGTTGTGGTTTGCATCTTCCGAAGACGGAAATGTATTATTATTATTTTTTGCATCTACACTATCTGTTGGAGAGGTATTTTTAGCCTCAGAGATGCAAAAGATAGTTATTTTGCATACATCTACGCAGTGGCGGAGCTCGGGCTGATTTTGTGGAGGGGCAAGAAATATGACTTTAGGCTGGTTTTAACTGGGCATATGGGCTGAATACTAGGGGATATATGCTAGTTTTCTTATGGGCTGGGGGGCAATGGCCCAGGTTGCTCTCCACTAAGCTCCGCCACTGCATCTACATAGTGAGATGGGCATGTGCAGTGAAAGCGAGCTGGTTCGTGTATGTCTACGTAGTGAGATGGGCATGTGCTGGGCAACACATCAATTAAGCTGCCAGTTTGTGTGCTTTCGATCTACTTATGTGCTTCATCTAGCTTTGTTTGAATGAATCAATCTAGCATGGTCTAAAACTAACGAGCAGTATATGTTTGCATTTTTGTGAAGAAAAGTATATGTTTATATATATATATATATATATATATAAAGTTGGTGCCAAATCAAAGTGTGGCGGCTGCCACACCTTGCCCACTGGGCTCCGCCAGTGATCACCATGCGCTGCCTCCTCGCATTGTGGAGTGGTGAGCAGTGGCTTTCGGCGCAGATCCCATCCACCATCCCCATTGGCTAGGCGGGCATGGGGTCGTTGATGGGGACGTCCGACCTGCACCGCGGCTACAAATGAGCAGCCGCTTCCCGCGGAGACGCATAAAAGAGATTACTCCGGCCGACGGGGCTGTGCTGTACTTCGCGCGCGGGCTACATGTGACCGGCTACCCCGCTCTTATTTGCTGGCTGGCTGCGGTGGAGTTAGTACGAGTTCCGGTGCCGTGCGACGTGCCATGCCGACTGCCGAATGCAAGACGACGCGCCATCGGTGTACGACTGTGCATTTCTTTTTTCTTTTTGGCCGTGCCTGGCAGGTGGATAATCGTTGTCGAGGTGAGGTGGCCTAATTTGGTCTTGGTCCTTAAAAAAAATGTACCCCAGCTTCTGCCTCTAGACGATGATAACAGTCATTTTATTATTTTTTCACAAAGACCTACAAAGCAACACGTCAGTACACCTGAAGGCCCCATCTCAGCAACACATGTTGTTACTCCTATCCCTCGATAAAGGAGTGCCGAATGTCCGAGCCTAATACCAAGCAAATATCGCACCAAACCCTAACATCTAAAACTGGATGCCCCAGCCTAGCCACATACCGGGACTAGATCACACACCGGTCCGACGCACTCACAATGAGCACCACATGCGCACCCTGCAAAGCCCGACACCACCGTCTTCCATTGATCCATCTTAAGAGCATAAACTGACGCATCGACCGTCTCAGGCCTTTCTACCATCGACGCCACCGCGAGCCAGACAACGTCATCCTCCTGCGCGAGTCCATCCTCACATATCGGACGCCGAATCTGCACTGCGCCACGCCATCGAGATTTATCGCCATCAATGTGTAGGATGAAGCACCGCTCCACCAAAGATGCGGTCCACTGGTCCCTCAAGCCCATGCACACCTCCAAGAACGACGCCCCAAGGGGGAAACGACACAAGAACGCCACTGTCTTCCGATCTACTGATCTAGGGTTTCCCCTAGAGGTAGCGGATAGTGGCTTAGAACTTCTCCACGGCAATGCCTCCAAGAAGGGAACGACACCGAAGAGTGCCGCCATTGTCGGCCTTGGCATCTAGCGAAGAGCAGGTTTTCACCCAGATCTGTTTGAAGAACTCCATCCTTCTTTTTGTGCATGGATCACCGCCTTCTATGCAAGGGACCGGACCAAAAGGATCCAGCCACCGCCGTTTGACCGGCCGCAGCACCACCACGGTGCCAGAGCAGTCGGCTTCGTCAGGCCCATCGTGCCAGCCTGCCGCCGCGCACTAGATCCGCTGACCCACCTAAGCCCAACTGGGCCCGGCGAGATATGAGATTCCAGCCATCGCCAGAGGGGCGCCTCCGCCGCGGAAGGCCGCGCCGCCGCTATTGCCGCCGCCACATCCTCCACCGTGATCCCGCCGCACCGCGCCGACGAATCACCGTAGTGGCCATGTCGCCGCCACCAGAAGAAGACGCCACCGCGCGCGAGGGAGAAGATCCCGCCGTCGCCGTCACAGTCCACAGCCCAGGCTCCGCTGGCATGAACTCGGTGGCAGCGGGAAGGAGGGATCGAGAAGAGGAGGCCGAGGGTTGGCGGCGCGGTCTCCCCCGTGTCGCCTAGGGTTGGCAACGCGGGGGTCCAGGGTCGGGAAGAAGAGCTAGAATTGTCTTATTTGGTCTTGGTCCTACCTCGCTCCTTTCTTTCTTCAATTGCAAACACCCACATTTCACATCCAAAACAGCCTGCTTCCTGGTCAGAATGCCCAATGCTCATTTTGGTGGAAGGATTGCCTGAAGCTGCTGGACACCTACAAGTTACATTCTTCTTGTACTCCTGGCTCAGGCAAGTCAATCTTGTTTTTAAGGATAATTGGGCTGGGAATACACTGCATTCTCAATGGCCACAGCTGGCCTCCTTTGCCCCGAATCCTCACATGTCTCTACAACGGATCATCAATACTGAGGACACTTCGTCACTATTCCAGCTACCCTTTTTAGTGGAAGCCTTTGAACAATATCAGGAGATGCTTGATGTCGATGCAACAAACATGGGTGTTTGCTACCCTGACTTATGCAGAGACGAGTTGCAGCTCCTTCGGCAAATATCAAGTTTCGTACAACTAGACCAGAGAAGGTGCTCTTTGTGAGATCAAGGAGCGCATTAAGAAGATCCAAGCTTGGGACAAGGCACAAGATCCACAACATAAGCAACCAACTCCCGGCAAAAGAGAGCCGACAAGTCACTGCCCGGCAAGCGCCTCAGGCACGGACTTACCGCTGAACGCCAGCGCTCCACCTCTTTGGCCAGCTGATCGCTGATCAGTGAGGTGTCTAGCCCGCAAGTGATTAGGTGGAGGCAAGCCATACGTGTCAGCTTGCTGGGAAGGAGGATTACCTTTTCTGACACCCGTCCTAATGGCGTGTCGTGCTAATAAGAGGTAGGTGGGTAAGCGGTGCATCACCCTTGTCGGGGTTCACCCTCCACACGACACCTAGAAGTGCATTTAATGCATTTTTGTCCCAACTAGCAGAGTTAGGTATGATAGATCTGCATCAGTCTAATCACCCTGTAATGACTGTTTTGCCACTTTGGTTACTCCTTGAGCAATAAAAGGAGGGCCAAGGCAACCTTTATAGGGGTTCGAACCTTGGCACTCACATGCATAGGTATCCGTGCAGCTGCCCTCTCCTAGCAACTTGACGGGGAGTAGTGCTCTGTTGATACGTCTCTGTCGTATCTACTTTTCCAAACACTTTTGCCCTTGTTTTGGAGTCTAACTTGCATGATTTGAATGGAACTAACCCGGACTGACGCTGTTTTCAGCAGAATTGCCATGGTGTTATTTATGTGCAGAAACAAAAGTTCTCGGAATGACCTGAAACTTCACGGAGATTATTCTTGGAAATAATAATAAATACTGGCAAAAGATCAAGACCAGGGGGCCCACACCCTAGCCACGAGGGTGGGGACGCGCCTACCCCCTGGGCGCGCCCCCTACCTCGTGGTCCCCCTGGAGCTCCTTAGAACTCAACTCCAACTCTATATATTCGTGTTCGGGGAGAAAAAAATCAGAGAGAAAGATTCATCACGTTTTACGATACGGAGCCGCCGCCAAGCCCTAAACTCTCTCGGGAGGGCTGATCTGGAGTCCGTCCGGGGCTCCGGAGAGGGAATCCGTCGCCATCGTCATCATCAACCATCCTCCATCACCAATTTCATGATGTTCACCGCCGTGCGTGAGTAATTCCATCATATGCTTGCTGGACGGTGATGGGTTGGATGAGATTTATTATGTAATCGAGTTAGTTTTGTTAGGGTTTGATCCCTAGTATCCACTATGTTCTGAGATTGATGTTGCTATGACTTTGCTATGCTTAATGCTTGTCACTAGGGCCCGAGTGCCATGATTTCAGATCTGAACCTATTATGTTTTCATGAATATATGAGAGTTCTTGATCCTATCTTCCAAGTCTATAGTCACCTACTATGTGTTATGATCCGGCAACCCCGAAGTGACAATAATCGGGACCACTTTCGGTGATGACCATAGTTTGAGGAGTTCATGTATTCACTATTTGTTAATGCTTTGGTCCGGTACTCTATTAAAAGGAGGCCTTAATATCCCTTAGTTTCCGCTAGGACCCCGCTGCCATGGGAGGGTAGGACAAAAGATGTCATGCAAGTTATTTTCCATAAGCACGTCTGACTATATTCGGAATACATGCCTACATTACATTGATGAATTG